GTTGTCAATTCTATCACTAACGAGTTGGTTCTAGACAATACAGAATCTGTATTCAATTTACGGCCTGACAGAAACAGGATGAATCTGAGGAGAATACGTATAATTGATTATAGAAACTTAGAACTCAATTGAAGCTGTGGCGGTTATGGTGTTTGTATGAACTTAGTGACTGTCTGGTTTTGAATTCCAAATACTATAAGTTCGTTTGTGCTCATTTAGTTCTATTTAGCCTGCATCTAAACAGTTTGACTTCAATCTTTGCATTGAAGAGGTTGCAAACTTGTAGATCCTTTGAAATTGAATCTTGGCTAGGGAGGGACAATATTTGCTTCTTTAATCCAAGTCATAAAGGTGGTTACATTAGGAGACTGTAGTTTTCAGGAATTAATAATATACGGAGTTGTCTGCTTTATTACCTCCTCAACTAAAGTAAATGTCGAGGCTTCTTATAGATGATCCATCAAAATGTGCCATTGTTATCAATCTCAATAAGGAGCTTCACAACATTAAGATCTTATTTGCCTGATAGCCAGTTTTACAGTCATACCATTATTCAAATCTCCATGCATGTAAGGACACCACTAGTCGTTTATTTTATTCTTTTCTTCATACTACTTGCGGATTTAATGCACACCGAATGAATTTATTCGTTGAAAGAGTTAGATGTGAGTGTTTCAGGTTTGTTATTTTGATTTACCTATAAAAACCTGCGCCTCCTACTCATCCACGAACAAAATCTGGGGTTCAACTTACAGATAGCTTTCGGTATATAATTCTTTACGCACAGCTGCCTTATGTTACAGTTTGACGAGTAAGTCAAGGAGTTTGACCGTATTATTGGAAAGTGGTTTCGTAAATCTCACAGATAAATGGTTCTGGATGATGCCAATAGATGATAAACCGGCCACAGTAATCTGTTATGGGGTAGTTAAATCACACTGTTTGGACTGACAAATGATATTTAAACTTTTTCAGCTTCATGAACTATCTGCTGCACAATCCTGAATTTTCTCAACCGTAAGTTGATAATTGCGCCAGTGTGAGTACTTAAACGAGTATCATCACAATATGAACTTAAAAGAATCATGAACTGGTGACTTCACATGTTAAGTATAAAATATTTTATTCTTAATTGCAATCTATTATAAGAGATCACGTGAAACTGAGTTTGTTCACAACTAATTCAATTAAGTCATTTTATTAACTTATTAACGAACTGAGTCATCCGTACAACTACTAACCTAACTCATTGTATCTTTATTACTGTTGCGAATGTATGAAAATGTACGCTTGAATATTGCTTATGGCCCACGCATTTATTCACTCTGCTAGTCTTACTACTAACCACTTATTTGATTCGATGACTCATTCACTTCACTATATATATATATATATATATATATATATATATATATATATATGTCCATGTTATCCATATTGATCGCTTGCTCTGCTTTCTCGTTCGCTTGATTGTACTCGATTACTTATATTCGCTCATTCGCTCACTTGCCTGTTTGCCTCTCGGCACAACTCTTAATGCTCGTTTAATTCATCTGTAATTTTGGACATCTGTGTGTGGTCTCACAATAAACGTAATCAACGCTTCGTATTCGCCTTCTGATTAATATACCGTTGGGGCGTTATCTAGTGACGGTTATAAAGACGAACTGTATACGAAGTTTAAAGAATATATCGAATACCGACCACCACAGAATTGGCGATCCCGACGCGCGAGCACGAAACAATCTTCGATGACATAGTCCAATTCCGAAAATCCAACGTACTCAATTTCAATTTAAACTAGCATTTGGATTATAATTATAACTGTAGATTTATTATCTCATTATTTTAATTATACGTACATTATCTCACAAACATTATTGAATATAACAATAATATTCACACTAAACGACGATATTTTACAAACAATTGATATTTTGGTGCAATTTAATAGGTCCGTTCTTTGTTATAAATTGTACCATTTATTATTATCATTGTTTTTATCGATTCACTTCTCTCTGTGACATTCATATTATATTCGTGTACTTTTTGATCTTTATAAATGTCTTTAAGTAACGACACAATAGAACTTTCACAAACGCCGTCCATGAGGTCCATTAATGTAACTATTCCCCCTTTTAAGGTCTCAGACCCTCAACTTTGGTTTATCAGACTTGAACATTACTTTCTAGCTAATCGTGTTCATACACAGCGAAATAAATTTGGCCACGCGAGCTCATTACTTCCAGATGAAGTACCAGACAACGTACGAGAGGTTTTAACTAAGCCAGATATAGAAATCCATACGACACACTAAAGCAGACAGTGATTAAAGCTGTCTCATTAAGCAACCGGCAAGCCGTCGAATAGCTTCTCAGTCAAGTGCAGATAGGAGATAGGACTCCATCGCAGTTAAAAAACTATATGAGAAGCATAATCGGAGATAGAAAAGTAGATAAAAACGTATTTTATCAGTTGTGGTTACGACGACTTCCAGCGAACGTGCAGCAGATCCTTGCAGTTGAGGACAGAGATGTCGACATAGACAACATTGCTAAAATACCCGATAGGATTTATGAGAGAATGAAACAAACGAGTCCTCAAAGACATAGTACCACTGTAGATGAACGAATCAAGGCATTACGAAAGGGAAGATTCAAACAACCAATACAAAAATGATATAAATCTTCCCATTGCATAGGCTAGTGACTTTCAGGATTTAGTAGGTAAGTGGATAAGTCGATGGCGTTTGAAGCGAATGGTACTGGGTCTCAGAGTGAACATAAATTTTGGGATGCAAGTACATCTAACTGACCAGTCCAAAACAGGGCGAAACGCGAGTTCTGGACTCTAATGCTAACTACAATTCATCTTTGCTTATAATGCTTGTCTTACATTTAAATGAAAACCTTGTTAGATTTTCATTAGAATGGCTAATGTAAGAAAATATATGAATAGGTCTTCGTAAACACTCTACAAGCTTAAATACTAGTATATTAAACCAAGCACCAGTTCGATTTTGACACTTATACGTATGCTACCTATAAGCGATCCTAACCCGTTAGTTGGGTGAGAAGTCAGAATAAGAAGCTGTATCGGCAATCGAATCAAAGATACAAAGTAACGCAATAATATATCTGTGTGTCCAGTGGATAATTGAGCCAAATCTCAGACAGAAGTGTTCATCCATGGACAACACTCATCTAACATTTGACTATTCCCTAGATTGTGAGCACAGTGATCTGATCTGACGGCATTGACCCAGATGATCCCCTCTTTAACTTGAAAATCTGGTCTTTACAACTTGTTGAATAATAAGCACTGGCAAATATAATCTATTTTGTCTTTTTTTATTGCTATAAACTATATTCAACTACCTTATAAATCAGTATTCCTTCTGGAGTCTATATGCAAAGATTGAGGTAAGGAATATGTTAATTTCTGATAAAGCACATTTATAATAATGTAACTAGTAAAGTGTATTTCAGTTCAGAAGTTAATGAACAATTTTTCAAGGGAAAATAATAAAGTCGTGTGCATTCTTAATTCTTAAAGTAAATAGATATTAGGAGTATTTCATTAATATAATCAAAAACTATGGTAACTTGTTCAACAACAAAGAGATCGTTAAGTCATTAATCTTCAGTTTAAAACTATCCAGAAATGCTACATATTGAAGATGACTGAAATATCAAAGATTCATTATGAGTTAGATATTTCCTTGTTATTTAATAAAACTTCATTTCGGTAAAATCATTCAATGAATTGTTCGCTTTCAATGTACATGTTCATGAAGATATTTATAAGAGATCCCACCTTTTGTAAAAAGCTCCTAGTAGCAACTATTACTACTGATATCTATGGTAATATCTAATATATATTTTGGTAGATTATCTACTTGGTAATTCACACTCAACTTTATTGTTTGACCTAGTTTAGTTGTATAGAATTCAATACCTGAGATTGTTATCATTAACTTGAAAGTCAAATAATTAACGAGTAATATTTAGGATAAGCTCATACATGACTATATGCTACCAGTGGTATAGCTACACTTTTGAATAGTTATTTGACTTAAATGTTGATTTATTTTGAGTATAGAATTCAGTAGTATATGATGAGGGAATTATATGTTATGTTGAACTTTTGTCTTCTTGGGGACGTTAGATCCCCAGAACGTACTTGAGAAAGGACCTAATTTTGTAATATTATTTAGAAAATTTAAATTTCTCTGTTTTCGCGCCAAAGGTGCTCTTGTCACCTTCATGTCTTATTTCCCACTGGGTAATATCTTAAATGCTATTGGTCCGTTGCGTCTTTTAGTATGCTATTTGGTAATTCTCCCCAAAGTCGGTTTTGTACTGTATATATACGTTTTGAATTGCGTTTGTTGTTATCGCTCGTTTCTGGCTGTTTGCAGAATATACTTCCCCATTCCAAGCTTGGACTTCTTTCCCTAGTTAGCGGGGGCTGGGACGCATCAATATCTAGCTTACTGGTCTTTGGTCATCAAGTCTTTGTTCTCGTTCGCAGATTATGTGAATTCGTGATAGCTTCAACCCCAGTATGTCTAAATAAACTGACAACTGATGAAAGTTTGTTTTCTTTTTCACTTACATAGAATGACAGATACATTTTAACTACATCATTGCTTAATCATAGATGATTTTATTTAAATATTGAGATGTGTTTATACAAGCATCTAAGCTATTAAAGACAATCTGAAGTTAGTCACATACACCAGGATCTATATTCTCTACTTCAACGTCGATTTTATAGTCAGTGTAATATCGTTACTACTTTTTTTAAAATACTTTAACACTAATCCATAGCTATAATCGAATAAATCTAAGTTACTAAGGTTTCAAGTCATTTATATTGAATCATCTATTAAGAAAGAGTTACACTCGTAATCGATTACTGAAAATCAGATATTGTTTTAGAAAAGAACAAAAATGTTGTCTCTCTTTCAATAATGTTTATATTTTCATTTAAAACATACAACATGGTTAATACACAGAACAGTGACATATTAAATGTTTTGGGTAACTTTTACTTTTCACTGAATACAAATACATGTTTTTGTTATTATTCCTTGTAGCATATTTGAATTGGCAAATCCACTCCATGAACTGATAAGTGTAGGCCAGTTTGGTTTTGGTATTTGTTTTGATATGCCTGGTTTACGAGTTGGTATGGTTTCAGGACGTTTAGTAGTAATTGGACGTCTAGTAGTTTCAGGACGTCTAGTAGTTCTAGGACGTTTAGTAGTAATTGGACGTCTAGTAGTTCTAGGACGTTTAGTAGTAACTGGACGTCTAGTAGGTTTAGGACGTCTAGTAGTTACAGCATAACATTCATCTTGTGATTTTGCTTCGTAAGGATAACGACCTTCATAGTTTCCTCTAAAATACAAAATAACATACAATGGAATGTATCAATTCAATTTTTCTTTGAAACTTAATGAATAGAAACATCTTCATATTACTATTATAATACTTAGTAGAATAAAATTATAGTACAACAATTAGTATTCATTATTCATATTTATTTACCCTGGGCCATAATTACAGACAACTGATAATCCATATGGAAATCCATAATTTCCAGTACAATTTGTAATACCACAACCAACATGAGTAGTATTTTGCCATACTAACTAAAATTAATTTAAAAAATTTTGAACTGATAATTTAAAGATAAGTTGTTTAAATAGACAATTATATATAAGTATCAGAAGAGGTTTTGTGGAGATTGTAGTAATTCCATTAGTTGAGATCATGAATCAATCGATGCTGGACCACTATGAAAAATTTGAAAGCACTGGACGGTGGTTTCGTTCTGTTGTAGGACTTCTCATCAGTGCGTATCCACGACTCCACCTCGCGGGGTGGAGTTCATCCGGGTCAGTTGTGAGATAGTAACTCACTGATGACAATGATGGATGTGTCACTCATTTTTGTGGATTAGTTGAAGTTAGACATTAACACCAATAGATGTCGACCCAGTGGTCTGGAGGTTAAGCACTTGCACGTGAGACTGATAGGTCCTGAGTTGGAATGTCGTGAGACGGGATCGTAGATGCGGACTGCCAAGGAGGAGTCCCACAATAGGACGAAACGACCGTCCAGTGTTTCCAGGTTTTTCATGCTGTTCTAGCTTCAATTGACTCATGATCTCAACTATTGAAATTACATATAACTTATATGAAATGTTAAATAAAGAATAGCCAGTGAGAAAATAAAATTTGATATTGACAACAAATATATTTATCGTTGACGATCTCCCAACTCGTGTTAATGTAACTTTCGATAGAAATTAAATATATGGATAGATGTAACATTAAACATCTGTCTTTAATAATAATAATAATAAGGAAAACTTCAGCTGTATCTATTTAAGATCTAACTAGAACTGAAACAATGTCATTAGCATGATCACTATAATACTAATCATTTACTTCATTAATTTCAATGAATAAATGAATAAGATTTTAAGTGTAGTAAGACTCAAAGTGTTTTACAAGTAATAACTCTATATATAGTATGGTATCAGTCAGTCAGTCAGTAACAACATAGAACTTCGTACGTACGTACATCAGTTCGAGTTGCTATATCACATTAGCACAGATATGCAGTTGTCGACTCAAATTCCTTAGTGGTAGAGGTAATAAGAGTATAAGCAGTAGTCGGAAACATTAGAGTTTGACGATGTTATTCAAGGAGTATAATACAGTGAAATGAATTTGGAAAGAGAAAAACAAGAGATAAGGAGGAATCAGTAGATTAGAATTTGGGAGAACACAAAGAGTGGATGCGCCTGCGCCATTGCAAACGACTTTAAGCCATGTCATTCAAGGTCTCTAACCATCGGTTGCTATCATCTCTTGGTCCCCAACCAGGTAGTCTACACCTACCAACATGGCTCAGTCTACTTGTCAGTGACTTCATGGATTTGTTCCATGTTTTGGTCTGAGTGCCCCTAGCTTTCTTCCAACCTATTCCTATAACATTGAACATAGCATAGTATAGTATAGTGGTTAATTAATATTACAGCAATCTCATTAGCACTTTAGTAAAGTAAATATAAAGTTATTTCATAATAAAAATACCAAGTAAAATGTATTACGTCATTATGAATTCTAATTTATTTGTGATAATTTACTTGAGTATAATGTCCACAAACACCATAACAACTCATTGAATAATAACTATACTGTTTATATTCATCTTTCCATGCATCGAATGCTCTAAAATAAGATTAAGAGGAATGAAGAAAAGAATAGTAATAATGATAATGTTAGTTACTGTTCAACTGTTTGATATCCTGCTATATTTTGACCAACATATTCCCATTTATGTGGTAAATTCACATCATTATGATGAAAATAACATTCATTTGCTAAATCTTTAGCTTTTGAAGCTAGTTCATTATCCCATTTCTATTTTACATGTAACATATAATAGATGATGTTATATAAACTTACAAGATCTGGCAGATATTTCGCTGGAGGTTGTCCTTCAAATTTACATTCTGTTAAGTTACGTCTAAGATCATTATGATATTGTAGAAGTTTTTGAAGTTGTGGATCATTTGGTTGTGAGAAGACAATGTTTACTTTCATATTAGTTAATACTACTACTAATAATAAGATACATAAAATCTGTTTCATATTCATTTTATCTCTGAAAAGTATGGATAACAGACAATTTATGGAATCTTTTAGAGATAAAAGACAAAAAAAAACCAACAAAACTACAACAACCGTACTGTTATGATGTGATTTGGCACATTATGCATTTTCATTTCAGCCTATGTATATGAAATGACAGTTCTCTTTCTATTAAAATGATTGTTTGTTCACTATAAGTAGAATAATTTATGTAGCGTTTTAGGTTGTGGTTTTTTTGTGCAATCCATGTTGAAATCAAACATGTGGTTCTTTCAACGTAAAGTTTTTATCGTTTTAATTGAATTCTTTAGTTTATTCATATAATTGTATAACACTTGTTACTCCTCGTCAAGGAGCATAAGCGACCAACCATTATTCTCCATCCAACATTAAACTGGGAAATCTTTTCCAGTTGGTTTCAATTGTTATTTATCTTTCTGATGTCTGCTATGGTGGCGTAGATAGATGAGATGGTTGTTGGAGGTAGTCAACAGGAAACCCTGGACCCAGGTCTTGTGCTACTTGTAATCTTGAGGGGACTGGTTCGACCCCGTGTTACCCAGCTTCACAGTCAGAGACGTTACCACTGAGCTATCCTGGCTGTGACCGACTTCCTGTAGGACTGAGATGTAGTCACAATTCATTGATCACTGGGTGGTGATCAATGTCATGTGTGTCAAGTCCCGGGTTCAGGGTTTTGCTGTTGACTACCTTCAACCACCATCTTATACCAATATAGTACACGTAGTCTCGAGTCACCTAGACTAGTGGCCACATTGCAACTTGATCGAGAGCATTCGATCTGCACTAACAATGACTTGACACACATGACATTGATTACCACTCAGTGATCAATCAATTGTGGTGGTGGCTCAAAATTTCACCCTGGGTAGATCATTTGCTGCTTGTTATCAAGTTATCCAAATATACATTTCACCATTCCTTACAAATAATTGTTGACTGAACTCGGCATAGTCTGCTATTTGATCGTCCTCTTATTTGTTTCCCTTCAGGATTCCAAGTTATTGCTTGACTCTTGAAGCAGCTAAAGGATTTCCTCAATTTACGACGTATTTTCCTAATTTCCTTTTCAGCTGCCACTTGGTATTTTTAAAAGTTCAGATCTCATCTTTTAAAATAGTTTCCACCAACTGGATATTTATGTTTTTCTGTTTCTTTGACCTAGTCAATAACATTATCATAGCCTCTACAAATATTATCACTGAAAGAAGATCAGACTAGTTTTCAGCTCCATATGGATGAAGACTTAAGGCAATGTAAGAATCAATGATACTCTATCCATATTAGTTTTATTTGTTTATGTTCACCTCATAGACTGATTTTATTTACAAAACCAGTGGAACCCAACATGCACTACTTACCATTTTCGTTTCACTATGGGTACCTTAATGGTCACGATTTCATTTCGAATGGAATCTAGGACGTTAAGATAGTGCACTGGGCACTTAACCTTTAGATAAATGTGCTGTGTACCAACTATTCACATATTTGACTTCCGTTAATTTGCGATATTGTATTCATCCAGTCTCAAATATATTTTCTCAGTAAATCTCTAAGATAATTCGAAATTATTTCCACATGGGTAATTTATTCAAAGTATCAGTCATTTATTATAATTACAGCATAGCTAAATATTCTATGTATCCACAGTCTCATTGTTTTTAACACAAATAGTATGGACAAGTGCATGACACATTGATACATTCAATAATTTTATTTACCTTATCGTTAATCCTTTCAGTCAGTCAGCTACAACGTAGGACCAGGCACATATATGCATCGGTCCAAGTTGCCACACATCATTAACACAACAAGATGAACACCGGATTAATAAAAGTAGTTAATTCTGTGGTGGTAATATATAAAAGAAAGATTTAAATATAAGGATATAATACAGGAAGAAAGAATTAGTTCGTAGAAAGAAAGATATGAAGCGATTTTAATCTCTTAGTTCAAGGAAAGACAGAAAGTGTATACACCGACGCCATTGTGATCGACTCTGAGTCATGTCACCCAGAGTCTCCAACCATTGGTTATGATAATCACGCGGACCCCAACCAAGTATTCTGAATCTACCAACATGGCTCAGACTAGAAGTTAGTGTCTTCAAGGACTGATGTGTTTATCCTCTGCATCTCTACTTTCATCAAACAAAAAAATACACAATGAATATTCAATTATCATACAACAAAGGATTAAGTATTCAGTAGTTATTGGTATTTTATTTATCAATTAACAAAGCAAATCGGAGTACAGTTTTTTGTTAATGCAAGCATTCCCGAATTTAAACGAAGAACATTTTCTGGAAACAAGATATTGTAATGAAAAAGTGAAATATACACAAAGTATCTATGTATGTCGAATGATGAGGCATCCATATGTCGATTACACTAAAATAATATTGTCAAATCAAATCCATCTTTCAATTAATCACAATGATATATTGCAGTCAGAAAACACTACTCGATTTTGGCTAGAAGAAACATTATTGACTAATAGAAGTAGGTTAGTCACATCGTTCAACATTGACAGTTTCCGAAATAAATAACGTTACACACATTACCCTACATAAATAAGATTGTATGATCAGAAGAGTATTAATTACTGTATTATGTAGAAATAGCTATGCAGAAATAACACGAATTACATATGGAGGACATTAAAATAAAAGGAAACTAACTCAAACTATTGAATACAAATGAGTAGTATAGAAAAAACGTAACAAAAAGTAAGCCTAGAACAATCGTTATTGAGTGAAAAATATTTGAAATTTTACTATGTAACATACGGCTGTAATTAAACTCAACTCGATTTCATAATCATGTCAGTCTGCTTAGCGACCAATCAGAATGAGGCGGGAATTATTATATCTGCCATATTTCCTCTCTGTTTTTTTTCCACTGTCTCTTTTGTGTAGCTGCATAATTTAATGTTTCAGTGTGCTGAAATTACTCGGTTAATGTAATACACTAAGTGTTATCGCAAATTGTCATTGGGTAAGATTTATTTTATCGGTTTTCGCTATGGCTATTTAAGTCAAAGTATTTCTTCAGTCAATCTCGCTTTTTTTATGTTATAAAATGTTAGTTCGTTTTGTTTTGAGTACAATCAAGCTACGGGCAATCATAAACTATGCAATTAACTAACAACTATATCTAATCATTTAATTTTATTTACTTTCGAATTCCCTCGGTTAATTACGGTTATTGTTAATTTCTGCCAAGCCCTTTAATGAACTTATTCAACAGACAATGATATTCGGACAATAAACATTCGTCTGTTGCTTTGTATTATTATTATGATCACTATCATGTCTGTATAAACGTGTACGCTTGACCACATGTGACAGCCTACTCACATATCTCAAGTATAAATGGTGATGGCTTAATTATCGCTCGATGAATCATTCTCTTTCCCATGTATATATGTGATTGAATCCTATTATTAGACGTTTCCTTGCCTTGTCTTGCCTTGCCTTGTTGCACTGCTATTCCTTATTTCGATTTGACTATCAATTCGCTCACACACATACACACATTATCAGATACAAATCATTCACTGAACATACATATTTCCCACTCTATGGGGAATGTTGTCTATCTGACGAACAGTTTATCAAAACTGACTTAACCGAAACGCTATACTTATGCATGATCAGGTAGTTAGTCTTTGTAAAGAATCATAGTTTCTCAAACGAAAATATCATTAAACTAGACATAATGATGTTGTGTACAGGGAATGGGTGAATTTAGTTGAAATATATTGTAAGCTAAGGATTTACTGTTGAATTACATGTTTAATATTGAATGAAGTGAGTATTGTGACAAGTTACATTGATTAGCTGAATAAACGTGAAATCCAGTCAACACACAATACACAATACACATACAAAGATGAAATAATCAACACATAATGAACGCATTCATTCAATGTATCATTCCAATGACACTTGCCAACATCGTTTCTCACTCACCACATGAATTACAGAACACAAAGCAATAAGATTTGAATGAAATATATTCAATTGTAAGTTATAAGTTATGACTAATTGCTACACACATACATATAGTTGAGTAATATCAACACAAAATAGTCCTGCATATCAATGGAAGTAAGTAATGAGTATATATTGAGAGAAGGTTTTGGGTTACAGAGGTGAAAACAAAATTGAAAACAGATACGTGTTATAGATATGGAGGCACCAATTATATTTGCCGAATAAATACAATCAATTTCTGTGTCGTACATTTCTACCATTTTGCTGTCCTTGTACATAGCCAAGCCCACTTCCACTACGAACGCTCTTTAAAAGCATGTGTAAAGCTTTCTTTCCGTATATACTCTTGGTATTAAAAAGATTGTTTTGAATAAGATTTGTAGGAACACATTGACTATTTGGGCGTCGTTCATGAACTCTACTTCCACTTGAACCGGTCGATGACAATTTGTGGTTGACATTCGCTATTGATAATGGTGCACGCTGTGTATTATCACGCATCGTTTGAAAACTGTCTTTAGGAATATTCTGCTTTTCTGGGCATAATTCACGTGATTTCACTTCATATGGTTTCTCATCAGTCCAATTACCACTAAAACAGTCAACACAATAGAAATTCAGTTACATTCACTGTGTGAACAACAACAAGGTGATTGCAAACAATACCATCTCTTCCCACATGATCAAGAGCAATCACTTACCCTGGACCATAATTACACACGATTGATAGACCGTACCTTGGACAACTCGCAACTCCACATCCAATGTCTGTGGTATTGGCCCAAACCATCTGAAACAGAATGTGAACAAGGTATTAATGTGATCGTTCGGTAGGCCAATTGCAAGACATTTCCACAATGTTTCAACATGACCTGTGTGTAAATACATTACTTCTAAATGATGGAGATAATGTTGTCAACTGAAGGAGATACACGTGGAAATTCCAGTATGTGTTGAATGAGTATGTTTACACATGGTGCAGTTATGATAACTAGTTGAATTACACAGAACACTCAATCAATCACTCACTCACCACTCATTCTGTCATGTCAACCAACAGTCGAAATCATTTCACCCAACACAACATCGTCATCTACCATCTATACACAATGAGTTTCTGTTGAGTAGATTGCAATATTGTGTTTGTGTGTTCACACTAGTGTTGACAGATTGATTAGGATTTGAATGCACTCGTCAGTCTTAGTACATGCTAATCAGAGACAAATTTCCTATCTGTTGTTTTCCACCGAATCACCTCAACTCTCAACAAAACACACATACTCAAATATGATCAAGTGTTGTGGATACCTGTGGGCATAACTGCAATCATCGGATTACGTGTATTTACATGTGTTTTTCAGTCACTTCTGTAGAAAAGTGAAACCACTTGATTGTTATCACACATTCGTGGTGCATTATAATAGGTGTGAATGGTGAGTGGCAAATGACTGTGGGTATGTTGAAATAATTTGAAGTGGATGAGAATGGACTTACTTGTGTGTAATGCAAACATCGCTTATAGTTGTTTTTATCGTAGTCATATAATTTGTGCTCATTGAACCAAGCATCTACTCCTCTGAATCAGAAAACAGTGAATTGAATAGAAATGATTTACGACTTAATGGTTGGACAGACAACAATATTTTGTCCAACACAAAGGAAATCATGTGAATAAGGTATGTCTTGTTGGAACTTGCATTTGTTCGCCAATGTTTGTGCTTGTGCAGCCAGATCGTAATTCCATTTCTACAAATAAGCGTTACGTATATTATTTGAAGAAATTATTGAATAGTGAGTGATTTACCAATGGTGACATATATTCAGCTGGAGGTTGTCCATCAACTTTACAATCAACCAAATCCTGTCTGTATTTTCTATGCAGTTCGAGTATTTCGAGACTGTTTTTATCAAGCTTTCTGTTGGTGTTCACGCAGTAGACATAATTGATGAGAATGTATATTATCAGTATGTTAAACATTTACTTTCTTTTAGTATGTTGTTGCAATGATTTTGAGTAATGATTTCAATGCCTTTTTATTTGCGTTCGTGTGAATTATCGGAGTTCATTCATTCTTCTATTTGTTCATGTTTTGTTTATCTACATCTTCTAAACTGTAGTATCACAGTTTTCTCATTGGAAATAATACGTGTTCTTCTAATTGTTATTCTCTTATATGTTTAATAGTACAAATTTGCCTAAGTATGAATCTTTTTATTAAGTAGTATAACAGTAGAGTTATTTTGATTATGTTATATGTTGCCTAAATGATAGATAGTAATAAGGTGTGTTTTCTTCACTTATACATACACATGTTAAGCAACTTGTTTTGACTTTACTTATGTACTAGACTGGCATATTAAGAACTAAACTGTATACATACATCTTGATATCTTCTAATAATTTGTAAGATTGATTCTTTCAGCTTTTTAGGGGTTGTGGAGATGATTAGGTTTTTGATGGAAATCATGAGTCAATTGAAGCTAGATGACCATGGAAAACCTGGAAGCACCGGATGGCCGTTTCGTCCTAGTATGGGACTCCTTAACAATGTGCATCCACGGTCCCGCCATCCACGAGATTCGTATCCAGGACCTATCAGCTTCCCGTGGATTGGTTGAGGATAGACATGACCACAACTGGATGCCGGCTCAGTAGTACAGTTGGTTAAGCGCCTGGAGCGGGACTGCTGGATCCTGTGTTCGAGTATCGCGTGGTGCGGGATCGTGGGTGCGCACTGTCGAGGAGTCCCATACTAGGACAAAATGGCCGTCTAGTGCTTCCAGGTTTTCCATGTTGGTCTAGCTTCAATTGACTCATGATTTCACTTAATTCTTTCGTTGAATTAACATACAATTAAATGTATTTACTCTCAAACAGTAGATTATTATATCAGGTTTAAAAAGAGTACACTTTTAAACATACTACTAGTTTGAATAGCTATTTATAATAAATATATTAGTTAGCCACTGATTTCTTAAGGTTTTATATTTTCTCTATGTTGATAATAACAACTTTAAATGAACAATCTCTTTTATTAAATGGATATTTTGAACAGATTGCTAATCAATATCATTTAGACATGGGTCTAATCTAAGAATAACATTGGTTACTATTCAGTGATCAATCAGTTAAAACTATCCTAACAATACATACAAAATAAAATTTAAAATCTTATGGGAACATTGTAAAAGTATATTCCTTTGTTCATATTTTAGATGAGATAAAATTACTTGTTCTTCACCATTTTCTCAATAGATTACCAATACATTCACACGCATGGTTTTCTCTCATTACTGTGAGAGTTTCATTGAGTATGTGTCGTTATGGTCATCAAAATATGCGGGAATATAAAGTACATTTATTTTTTGTAAAAAATAAATCTTGTTGATACTTCAATTATTTTTTTAGGTGCTGATCACGGGGTGTGACTTCGGAGCTATCTGTTCCCGTCAAACTTCAGTAGGCCCTCCAATCATTTGACATTGATCATCTACGTTGGTGATCTACAACTTCTATTTGCCTCATTTATGTGAGTATCCATTCATCCTTCCATTAATCCTACTGAAATAATTATAATTTAATATTTATTCTATACAGAATAATAAAGATCGAATTCTCATTTCAATAGACAACCTAGAAATAGTCTTCAGTTGATATTTTCATAATATTAGACACAATTTAATAATGTTACTAAGACTAACTAGTTGACTACCCCGTGCTTCAGAATCAGGAATTGTCAACTTGAAACACTTCAAACTCAACGTTTTGTGTCAAAACTATTGTATTGGGTAATTAAAAACATTACCTACACTTGGATTCAATGAAATTTTACTCATTCCTCTGGTAACAATGGTTCGGTCGGTTACATGTTAAAATCAGTATTTAGTAAATTAATCACAGCCACAGTTGAAATTGGCAATGTATCCCATGCGGTCAAAGTTATTACTCATGGTAATATAAAAAGTAGTCTTGCAATTGTATGTAAAACACCAATGAAACACATGAATGGTTCACTGCCGAAACTTTTCGGTTCTGCTGTCACATACTTGAAATCAGAATAGTTATAATAAAATATTTATCGTGTCACTCCAGTTTTGATTATTGATCTTAAATACACTGGTGTTAATAACAACTCTGACTGATACTATACAAAGCATGCCAATAACTTGTAGTAAGTGGCCCTATGTCGAGCCCACATATGTTATTCTAGTCTCTGTACAGACCAGTCTATTCATTCTTCCCGAGTCACATTTTGACCTTGTTAATTATTCGCCTGGCCTCGCCCCGCTTCGCTCCCTTCCTTTGCCTAACTTTGCTTTGTCTCACATCACCTCGATTCCATTTGACTATAAATATTGAGTAACGCTTAATTAAAGTGAGTTGGCTAACATGCCATCTCCAATCCGACTTGCTTCGCACTCACCTCTTCGATTCGTTTCTCTGATTGTCTGCTCCCTCCAATGATTGTATAAGATATTTGTATTCAAACATCTGTTCTCGCATTTGAATTTCTTTAATTTAGTTATTCACTGACGCGAGTTAATTCGATAATTATATACAAGGATTGACCATATGCATAAATCGATAACGATAATCACATGATTAAATTGGAGTCAGGTATTCCAGGGCCAGCAAAATCTTCCGTGATGTAAGTGCGACCATTGTCAGGATTTACTACCAAAATGAACGACTTCAATAATGAAACCAATCACTGAATATTTGGAGATATTTTCTGGTAGTGATGTACTCCAGAAAGAGAGCTATTTAAAAAGCTACCGAGCGTTTCCCACTGACATGACTTACCATATATCGTAGTAACATAAATGAGTGCATGTTCAATTTTCAAGATTCCAAGGAGTTCTATATAAGTCAATATTAAAAAGTCTGTTTGTCCACCATTGCGTAATGCTCCGTAAATAGGTTCAACTGAGCAGGTTTTAAATATGAAGCGAAAAGTTGCTCTGTTGTCTCAAAATTTCCTTCTTAACTATATAAATAGGGTTGATTGAATTCAATAGAAAAGTAGGATAATAATCTCAAATTTTATATCATCATTATTTAAAATTGGGTACTGAGAGCATGCAGTTTCCATCGTGAACACTAGCAGTGAAGACAAGTCAGCTATTGTGAACAATTTCGACCCATACAATCTTTCATTATATTCATTAGAGCACAAATTATCAGACGTAGAACGACGTCTGCCACATTAATTGTCCCTATAAAAAAATTTAACTGAAGATAGGCTTCAATAAAAAATTGACAGTTTAATTACAGATTTCTGATCGAGATTCTCAGCAATCAATCCAACCAATCCTTTGCACCTCCAATCCGACCTTGATGTAGGGGACATGATATTAAGGCGATGAATATGTCTAAGTTATATATTGAAAAACGCTACTAATGAAGCTGATTTTAAATATTTGCAATCTGGACCATTTTTATGTTATTTAAATAGCGTGAATTTGCCAACCGAATATATCTATATTAGGTGGAATGTATTGAAGACTACTTTAATAAAATGTTACACAACAAGTGAGAACTTATAAACATAAGACAAATCATGTGTGAAATAGGAGTATTAAAGAACCAGTTAAGTGCAACTTGAGTATCGCTGATACAGTTCACAAGTTCATCAATGAACCTTTAGCTACTGGTTTCCAATGGCTTGCAAAGTTGAAAGATGTAATGAAACATCTAGTTATGAGTAATCGTTGGGGAATTTATGCAATCCAAAGATTTGACTAAGACTTGTGGTGGACTAAAATGTATTTTAACCAAAAATTAGCAATAAAGTTATTACGTCCAAAAGTTAATGTAACATTAATAATTTATAAATTAGTAACATAAAATAAAAGTTCAGGGACGTTACTTAAATCAGCTAGTTGTTGCGTGTTCCGTTGAGTTTTGGTCCCAAAAATTCACAATTATAAATGAGTAATAACTCCGATGAGATAAATGTGACTCCAGTAAGTTTCCTTGACGTAGGATGTAATAGAAATGGCACAACAATCTAAAATGTGTATAATATTCGATTTAGAATGCAATTGGCTCGATAACGAGTGAGAATAGAACAAGGAGTGTGTGCGTAGTAGTGGTATTTGTGAACAACCACAAGTGTGTCACGCTATGTTAGTATCACAACGGAAAAAGTGTTCAAGGTCATTCACTAAAACAACAGGTACAATCATTTAATGATAAATATACCGACAGTTAATGATTGGCGAAATAAATACAAATAATATTAAAAACTATTTACAATATAAGCTTGTCAAACCTATTTCCACAGATTACATTAGATTCAATTGCAGTAAGATTTTGTATGGTTACCAGCCCATGGAGTAAACGATAAAAATTCCTACAATCCAGGAAACGATGTCCGTAAATATTTACAATAGAATAATAGATTTTAGTCCATGTTATGAAAATTCACACACAACAATTGCTACAACACACTATAATCATCAACATCATGTGCTAACAAGTGACTGGATTCCAAATGTAATTTGCAGAATTCTAGTGGAAATTTGTGACCATGTTAGTTGTAAGATAAGCATCACCACTGAGAAT